TTTATTGGTTTCTTACCATTTTTACATATCATCGATCTCAGTCCTGGTAGTTAATACTGTTTTGCAAACTCAACCACTTTTTCTCAAACTAGAAACTTAAATAATATTTCTAATGAAGTTTGGGCTGAATATTTCTATCTTATTGTGCCCGAGGAGCTTATATGATTCTGGACTGAGTATGGGATCGGGCTGCGCACCGCAGCAGTATTATATTGATATTGATATGAGGCTTAGGGCCTAATGGATGCCACGAGATGGCTTGATATTGCGCTTGGGCCGTAAGGGGCCCCTCCCGGAGTCTGCACACCCCCAGTGAGCGCCGTCGACGATAAATAAATGGAGCGGGCTGCACGCCGCAGCGGTTACTGGAGAGTACCGGTCTATGTGTTGCATTGCATACTATTAATTGTCATTTATTTACTTATCTGCTGTGATATTTCTATAATTGTTTTCATTGTTTTACTGGATTTCATGCTGCTGGGTTCAAGTTGCTGTATTTATAGAATTACTTTATGCCTATTCAGGATTTCTTATTCTCAGTCTTTATTTATGTTTATTACTCACTGAGTTGGAAGTACTCACTTTACTCCCTGTGCAGATTCAGGTGCACCCACTGAGGCTGAGTGAGACTATCTCTGTCGAGCATCATATCCGGGAGCATCAAGGTAGCTGCATGACGTCCGCAGTCCTGATCTTCCCATCTATCCTATTTATTTTATTCCGCATTCCTTCAGTCTATTATGTAGTAGGTTGACACTCGTATATTAGAGGCTCATACTTGTGACACCGGTTCATCGGGCTGTGTACTAGTATTTCTACTTGGGTTTTCCGCATGTTTGAACTTTATTTCAGATATTCAGTATTATGACTTAGTAATTTACCTGTGTTAAATAAATTCATGCGTTGTATAAATGGTCAAGGTTATTGAATTGGTCGGGCTTGCCTAGCAATGTGTTGGGCGCCATCACGACCGGAGTTGGGGTCGTGACAAGTTGGTATCAGAGCCTAGGTTACTTGGTCTCGCGAGTCATGAGCCGGTTGGTAGAGTCCCGTGGATCGGTACGGAGACGTCTGTACTTATCCTCGAGAGGCTGTCGGACCTTTAGGAAACTTCATATTCTTGAAACTCTTGTCGTGCGGCCTTGTTGAACTGAGAACTAAATCTTTATTATTCTATTCTCTCACAGATGGTGAGGACACGAGCTACCGGACGTGACGGACGACCACCAGTGCCACCTACTGAGGCCGCTAGAGGCCGTGGACGCGGTCGTGGTCGTGGCAGAGGCAGAGTAGCCGGGGCAGCACCTGCTGATCCACTAATTGCCCCAGCTCAGGATCAGGCTCCAGCTGTGGATACTCCAGCAGCACCTGTTCAGGCACCAGCTGTGCCTATCGTGATTCTGGGTCTTCAGGAGACCTTGGCTCAGATATTATCGGTCTGCACTGGCCTGGCTCAGGCGGTTTTAGCTACCACAGCAACAGTAGCTACTTCATAGGTCGGGGGAGGCAATCAGACCCCCGTTTCTCGCACACCTGCTCAGGCGGTGCAGGGACTACAGACACCAGAGGCACCTCCAGCTCAGCAGGTTGTACCAGCTCAGGGCTTCGTGGTTCCAACTATGCCAGACGATGAGCAGCGTCGTCTCGAGAGGTTTGGTAGGCTCCAGCCTCTGACATTCGGTGGTGCTGAGGGCGAGGATGCCTAGGGTTTTCTTGACAGATGTCAGCGTATGCTCCGTACGGCAGGGATCCTTGAGTCGAGTGGTGTGGCATTTACTACTTTTCAGTTCACGGGGGCTGCTCTTACTTGGTGGGAGGACTTTGGGAGGTGTAGGCCTGCCGGTGCAGCACCTCTGACTTGGCAGCAGTTCTCCGCTCTTTTTCTGGAGAAGTATGTACCTCAGTCCCGCAGGGAGGAGCTGGCAGTTTGAGTGGTTGACACAGGGGGATATGACGGTGACTCAGTACGAGATGAGGTTTTCCCAGCTGGCTCATCATGCTACTTGGATGGTTCCGTCAGATCGTAAGAGGATTAGGAGATTTGTGGATGGCCTTAACTACCATCTCCGTATTCTGATGACTAGAGATAGATACTGGGTGCTACGTTTGAGGAGGTGGTGGACATCGCTCGTGAGATCGAGTCAGTTCGCCGTAGAGAGCGAGAGGAGAGGGAGGCTAAGAGGCCTCGTGGATCGGGCAGTTTCGGTGGTGCTACTTCGAGGGGTCAGTTTCAGCAGGGTAGAGGTCGTTCTTTCAGGCCTGCTCAGTCTGCTCGTCCAGAGTATCGTGGGGGATCTTCAGGCCGTGGTCACCATGGGCCCCAGCAGGGTCAGTCTTCACTCAACGACCTCCTANCCAGTGAGCGCCGTCGACGATAAATAAATGGAGCGGGCTGCACGCCGCAGCGGTTACTGGAGAGTACCGGTCTATGTGTTGCATTGCATACTATTAATTGTCATTTATTTACTTATCTGCTGTGATATTTCTATAATTGTTTTCACTGTTTTACTGGATTTCATGTTGCTGGGTTCAAGTTGCTGTATTTATAGAATTACTTTATGCCTATTCAGGATTTCTTATTCTGAGTCTTTATTTATGTTTATTACTCACTGAGTTGGAAGTACTCACTTTACTCCCTGTGCAGATTCAGGTGCACCCACTGAGGCTGAGTGAGACTATCTCTGTCGAGCATCATATCCGGGAGCATCAAGGTAGCTGCATGACGTCCGCAGTCCTGATCTTCCCATCTATCCTATTTATTTTATTCCGCATTCCTTCAGTCTATTATGTAGTAGGTTGACACTCGTATATTAGAGGCTCATACTTGTGACACCGGTTCATCGGGCTGTGTACTAGTATTTCTACTTGGGTTTTCCGCATGTTTGAACTTTATTTCAGATATTCAGTATTATGACTTAGTAATTTACCTGTGTTAAATAAATTCATGCGTTGTATAAATGGTCAAGGTTATTGAATTGGTCGGGCTTGCCTAGCAATGTGTTGGGCGCCATCACGACCGGAGTTGGGGTCGTGACACCCAACTTATCAAATTTCAGCTTATAAGCACTTTAGGTTTGACCAAATATTTACTATTCTATCCCTAAAATACTTCTTTTTAAAACAAAACTCTTTGTATACTCAATTTTTTAGCTGCTTATTATTAATTTCAGCATTTTTATCCAAACACGTAACTGCTTATTTTTTAAATCAGCTTCAGCACTTAAAAGTGCTTTTCAGCACCTATGCTTATCAGCTACTCTAAATCAGCTAAGCCAAACGGGCTCTTAGTCAATTTTTAAGAAAACATTTCAGAGTCCTAGTAGGAATAAGTAATTAACAAAAGTGGCAGCTAATTATCTATATTCCTAACAGGAACATAATCAATTAATTAATGGACCTCTCAATCCCTCCCATGTTCCGTTGCTTATTTTTAGTGGAAGTCCTAAAATTGCCAAAAAAAAGTAATTAATGTGATAAATTACTCCATTTAGCTTATTTATAGGGAACAAGATTGTACAACCATTAGACCACATTACTGTTTATTTTCTATTTTTTCCCTTTTAATTTATCTTTTTTTTAAATGAAGAAAAACGATGATTTTCAAATATGGGAACATGATGGAGGTTTTCTTTACATGTTTATTTTTATTTTTATTTTGTATTTAATTCCTTTTATACTCCTAAAAATAATAAGTAAATATATATAGAGTATATTAGTAAATTATAGTTGTATAAATATTATTTATATAGTATACTACTTGTATATTACTATTATAATTATATACATTGTATATAACTAATATATACATATAGATAATTATTCAAATATTCATAGTGATATATGATGTATTTTGGGCATATAATAATTTTATGATTTAGTATGCCGTATATTTATCGTATAAGTATTACATTATACGGAATATATTATTGTTGTATAACTATTATATACACAATATGTACTTGTATGTTACTATTATAATACATCGTATATAAATGATATATCTATATTATATATCATAAACCCTGAAAAAATAAAAAGTAAAAACTAAATATACAAAGTATCTTCTTATACTTGTGGCTTATATTTGTCCATGCCAGTTTCTATTGCAAATATTAATACTGGGAAAAGATGAAAGAATTTACGTCTTAATATATATAAACTTTCTTATGCACTAAATCATCTATAAATATGATTAGAACATATTTAGAATGGAATCAGTTCAAGTAGCATACTATATAAATAATATTTATACAACTATAATATACTACAAATATATATATATATATATATATATATATATTATTGGAATATATTTCAAGTGAAATGAAGAAAACAAGAGGAGAGAGACAACGAAATTTAGGATATAACACAAGAGGAAATAGTGTAACTGATACCATGATTTGTGCCTCATTAATTGTGTGCATAATTAAAACGATATGCTAATATTGTAAAAAAATCTGCCATTTTTGGAATAAACAATAAATGATATTATTTTCTTAAATATTTTTAAAAAAAATGCTTAGCCATGTAACTTTCTCTAATTGTTACCCTCAATTATTCTCCATGCTGATCTGACTCCAAACAAATTGATGCCACTTAGTGGTTTAATTTTTTTGTAAAAATAGCACGGTATAGCCAGTTTTCGGACTGGTCAATCAAAAATAGCCAGCGTTTACCAAGTCAATGAAAAATAGCCACCGTTTTGCTGCAATAGAGACCGGTCCAGCATAATATACTGGAGTTCGGTGCACTTATGTATGAACTCCAGTATATTATACTGGACCAATATACTTGCTGGAACTCCAGTATATTATGTTGGAGTTCTAGTGTATTTATGCTGGAACTCCATCATATTATGCTGGAGTTCCAGCATACTATCCTGGAACTCCAGTATAATATGCTGGAGTTCAAGTATACTTATGCTGGAGTACTTGAGAAATCACAGGCAAGTATTCAACCATGCGCATATGCTTCACACAGCCACAGAACTTTACTTGGACTAGGGAAACAATATCTTTGAAATTATATACAGCAAAATGTTCCCATATTCCTTGCATTTACATACGCCTCATTTGCGTCACGACTGGCTTTCCTGTAACTATTAAATGATGCGGATAATAAATAATTTCTTTTCCCTTTATATAACTGATCATTCGAGCTGTAACACCAACTTAACAATCGAGACAAAAAAACTAAATTCCCAGATCAAATGAAGGAGAGTTTCCGCCATCAGGAATTTGTGTAATAGGTATTGAATTCACTGTATTCCGAACCAAGGACTGTGATTTATTTCTAAGAATTCTAGCAGCCTCTGCTTCCATTGCATCAAGATCGATACTTTGAAAGAACTGGTCATCATCAAATGGATCACCAACTTCATTCTTTGCTGCTTCTTCCAAAAGATGTGAGTTTACACCAACAGCTTTAGAATGAAGAGAGAACTCGTCGTGTAAATTGACAACGGGCAGTGAAGTTGCCTGATAATAGCTTAACTTTCTTTTCCGGCTCTCTAACTTGCTATCGTTTTCTCTCAAAGAGCAAGTGGTTGAGCATGGTACTGCTTCTGGTGCAATTCTATTAATACTTTGCTGAAAGTTCAAGGAATTTCTCGTTATTGACTTTGGGTCAGTTTGAGGTATGTGATGATTTGCTGTTGCAGATGAGCTCTTGCTTTCATCTGTTCTGCTAGTTGGAACCTCAGAATCAGGAGTATAATCGTTTGAAAGGTTTGGAATTGGTGACTGAGTGAGCAATGAACGCCTGTGATTAAAGATTGGCTTAGGTCCAGAAATCAAGGCAATGCAGCCGTGATCATCAGATGATCTATGACTTCATGAAAATATTACTAAAAGGGAATCTATCTCCCTGATAAAAATGGTACTTTGTCAATAATGAAGCAACTTAATGTAACATTCAAGAAAGTGCTAAAAGAAGATATTCGTTAATTCTTCACAACATTTAAAGCACTTCGCATGAATGATCAGACGCATTTGCTCCATCTGAAATAGATTGATCTTTTCTCTTTCTTCAGTTTACAACATTCAAGAAGAGGGAAGGACAAGAAATGATATATGTATAGCTGAAGATTCAGTACATATATGCACAAATATATCATGGAGTGCAATTAACAGTTTAAAACATAAAGAATCAGCATCCAAGCTTTCTTGAGTCACAAAATCTTCTCTAACCAAAGTCAGATATCGAGCTCATGCCCCTGTATCCGTGTGAACATAGTTTTGCTTCCTAACATGATACATGTTTCAGGTGCCATTACCTTCAAATTAAGGTGGATTATGATTAAGCAAATCTGAATGATTTTTCTAGTCCTAGATTTTAGCCTAGCTATTTAAATCATCACTTTTTCTAAGTGTTGCGTATTCGCTCTCATCCAGAACAGCCAAATGAAATAATCAGTTTAGTCATTAAATTTAGTAATTAGGGAAGCGGCTAGAGCGGTGTTAGGATCAAGAAGGGATATTCTGGTGGACACAAAGGGGACTGATGGTGGAATGGGGAGGTCCAAGGAAAAGCGGAAGCCAAGAAAGCGGCGTATTTGAATGGAAAGCATAGATAAGGAGAAGAAGAGGACGAATAGGAAGTCGTATAAGAAAGCAAAGAAAGAGGCGAAGATAGCAATTACGACGGCTAAAATTGCAGCATTTGGACTTCTGTATGAGGAGACTTCTGTATGAGGAGCTTAGGGGCAAAGGCGAGGACAAGAAACTGTTTAGGTTAGCAAAGATGAGGGAGAGGAAGACCTGTGACTCGAACCAAGTGAAGTGCATCAAAGACAAAGAAGGCAAAGTATCGGTGGAAGAGGCACATATTAGACGAAGATGACAGACATGCTTCCATAAACTATTGAACGAGGAGAGAGACAGGAGCATTGTGCTTGGTGAGTCAAAGCACTCCGAGAATCGGCGAGATTTTGGACATTGTAGGCGTATTAAGATTTAGGAAATAGAGAGGACGATCAGTGTTTTGGATAGTGTGCGGCGACAAATAGCGACGAGGGCTCGCTTCACTGAGGCGAGAGGGGCGCAGCGAAGCGCTCGCCTTTTTTATGTGAAGCGACAATTTATACAAAAACATAAAATATAATATACATATAACTAAAAACTCAATAACAATAATATATTAATAAATATATCATTCAAAAATTAAAGACTCAATAGATAGTCATAGACTCATAGTAGAATCATAAACTAAAGTCCAATAGTCTAAACTCTAAAACAAGCAACATCTATTATATAATTGAAAAAACAGAGCAACAAATGAGAGCAAACAACATATACAGAGCAAAGAAAGAAAGAAAGAAAGAAAGAAAGAAAGAAGAAGAAGAAAGAAACAACAGAGCTACTGCCTCTGCTCGATGTCCAAAAACAGAACCCAAAAATAAAATAAAGCTCTGGTCGAGAAACAAAGCAAAGAAAGAAAGAAAGAAGAAGAAAAACAGAGCAAACAAGAAGAAGAAAAACAGAGCTGAAAGAGATGATGGAAGAAAGAAAAACAGAGCTGAAAGAGAAGAAAACAGAGCTGAAAGAAGAAGAAAAACAGCAATCACTGAAGAAAGAAGAAGAAAAAGAAAAAAGAAGAAGACAGCAATGGTGGTCGACCAGAGCTGAAATAGAAGAAGAAGAAGAAGAAAGTAGAAGAAGAAAGGAGAAGAAGAAGAAAAGAAAAGAAAGTAACATACCTGAAGTGGTTGCTGATGGCTGATGATGGAAGAAGAAGGAGAAGATGTGAAACCCAAGCCCTAATTTTGTCGCTGAAGGAGAAGAATTGGTCGCTGCTCGTAAGAAGTGAAACCCAAGCCCTAATTTTGTGTTTTAGTAAAAATCGCTGCCTTTTCTTCCGTTATTTTCAAATAGCGACGCCTCGCATCGCAGCGCCTCTCGGCACTCGCTTTTCTTCTTCACATCGCAACAGCCCAGAAATGACGACACTATCTCGCCTCGTGTCGCTACATGCTTTTAGCGCTGTAGCGCTCGCTATTTACAACAATGGGGACGATGCGTAAGATGAGCAGAGGTAGAGCAATTGAGCCAGACAAAATCCCTATATAAAATTTTAGAGGAATGCGGCCGAGCAGGATTGGAATGGCTTACCAAGTTATTTAATGTCATTTTCAGGATGAAGAAGATGCCCGAAGAATGGATAATAGAACAAGGGTGATATCTAAAATTGCAACAACTATAAGGTATCAAGTTGTTGAGTCAATATGAAAGCTTGGGAGAAGGTGGTGGAAGTGAGGATGACGAGAAGTGTGTCTATTTCCGAGAACCAGTCGGATTCATGTTGGGGCGATCGACTACGAAAATCATTCATCTTGTGAGGAGATTGGTGGCGCAGTATAGGGAGAGGAAGGATGACTTGTATATGGTATTCATTAACCTTGAAAAAAGCTTACGACAAAGTCCAGAGAGAGGTTTTATGGAGATGTCTGGAGGTTAGCCATGTGCCGGTAATGTACACTAGGATGATTAAGGACATGTATGAGGTGCTAAGACCCGGTGAGGATTGTGAGAGGGGACTCGAAACACTTCTCAGTTATGATGGGGTTGTACCAAGGATCAGCTCTTAGCCCGTTTTTATTTGCCTTGGCGATGGATGTGTTGATGCGACATATTCAAGGGGAGGTGCCATGGTGCATGTTATTCGCATATGACATAGTACTGATTGACGAGATGCGAGGTGGGGTTAACGCATGGTTGGAGCTTTGGAGATAGACCCTAGAGTCTAAAGGTTTCAAGTTAAGCAGGACCAAAACAGAATACTTGGAATCCAAGTTCAGTGATGGGACTTATGAAGCGGACGTAGACGTGAAGCTTGATACACAAATCATCCCCAAGAGAGGTAGTTTCAAGTATCTTGGATTTGCAATTCAAGGGGACGGGGAGATTGACGAGGATATCACACATCATATTGGAACGGGATGGATGAAATGGAGGCTCGCATCTAGTATTTTGTGTGATAAGAATGTGCCACCAAGACTTAAGGGCAAGTTCTACTAAGTGGTAGTTAGAGCGCTTATATTATATGGGCTAAGAGTTGGTCAATCAAGAGCTCTCATGTCCAGAAGAAGAAAGTAGCAGAAACGAGGATGCTAAAATGGATATGTGGGCATACCAGGAGATGAGAATAGAAATGAAGTTATTCGGGACAAGGTGGGAGTGGCCCCCCGTGGAGGACAAAATGCGAAAATCGAGGTTGTGATAGTTCGAGCACGTGAAAAGGATAAGCATAGATGCCCCTATTAGAAGTTGTGAGAGGCTGACCATGATGAGTCTGAGGAGAGATAGAGGTAGGCCAAAGAAGTACTAAGAAGAGGTGATTAAGCAGGACATGGTGATGCTTCACTTATCGAGTACATAATCCTTGATAGGAAGGTGTAGAAGTCGAGAATTAGGGTAAAAAGTTGGTCGGTAGTCGAGAGTTTATCATATCCTTACCGGTAGTATTAGTACTATTCTTGTATTATCCTATGCTTAGATATCTATTACTATCTGTTGTTTTGTTTGCTTCAGTTATCTTATCATTTTGTTGTTGTTAATGTTTGTTGCTACTGCTTCCTTTTTTTTCCTTTTCTTGAGCCGAGGATCTATCGAAAACAGTCTCTCTACCTTCATCAGGTAGGAGTAGGTCTACATACACACTACCCTCCCCAAACCCTACTTGTGGGATTACACTGGGTTTGTTGTTGTTGTTGTTGTTGTTGCACTTCAGATTTCTGAACCAAAACCATTATGAGCATCATTAAATTTCTAGCGAAACTACAAGAATCCCCGAGAAATGCTGATGATAGAGAATGTCAGATTGAAGTTTGAGTACTTTATCACCAGCTATCAAATTATAAATTTCAGCCAAGAAGTTCGTCGCCACATCACTTCAAAACTTCACATATTGAAGTGTTTTGTTTCATTGAAGTCCATGTTGCTGATATGTTCTTAAGCACAAAGACATCAGTGCTTATAATCTCTTCGTAATTCTGAAGCAAGAACTGCAAATTATTTATAACTTGAGTACAAGAAATTATGTTCCAATACAGAGCGCAGGGACATCAGTCCCATGCAGGTAGAAACTGCACACATTGAATAACCTGACCTTTCAACTGAGCTTGTTCCATTTCCATTTACTTGTAGTTAAGCTATTTTGAAAGTCGGTCATACGAGATGCCTAGTCTCATCATGCATTCGCCCCCTAATATTCTTACATTGATTTGTTTGTTTAAATCTAATGATCAGATAACACCATTTTAGTTCAAAATAGGACAGTTTCGCTCCCAAAAATGAAGAGCGGATACTATATCACTTTAAATTTTCAAAGAAATCAATACTAAAAACATCCAAAAAAGGGAGAAAACGTGTAAAACGAAACAGAAAATAAAGAGATAAACTTAATAAAAACCTGTATATCGCTATCATATCAACTTCACCAGCCTCGGCTTGACTATCTGCCGCTGTTGGATTTATCTTGTCATCAATGAAACTATCATCATATGAACTGTAATCCTGCTTATCCTCCTCATCATCGGATACTGAAACTTCTGAAGACACCCTGTGTAAGAACCATTATTTTAGAAGCATATCAGGAGAATTGCATGAGGCAGATGAAATTCATTATAAGTATGAAAATTTGACTAGTAACCGATCTATGATGGTTATTTTGTTCTGGGCCATTAATTGCAGTAAGGATACTCTAAACATCAATGGGCTGCAGAACAAACTCAATGGGCATTGGACATGTCAATTGCGCCATTAATTATGCAATCTTTTTCATAATCTAAGATGTAACACTAGCCCTGTTGCATGTTCTGGTGCATCTTAGTCGTGTAGAAAAATTATGTTTTAACACTACTCTTTCTTTTCCTTTCTGTAAAGTAAAAGGGCATATTAGTATTTATGAAAACTTTCAGAGCACAAAACAAAATTGTGGAAAAGTATAGGGGATGAATAGAGGAATGCGCAAACATAAATTTGGTGTAAGAAACGTTATCAGGACGCCCCGTTTCCACTCCCTATTCCCTAAAAAACAAGTTTGAAGCTCTACCCCTAATTCTAGAATGCATGTGTCTAGGATGATAAAATAAAAACTAAATAAATCACAAAGGAAAAGGAAAGGTTTTCTGACAGGTTGCAGTAATGAACTTGAAATAGAGGTCTCGGGCTGTCTGTCTGTTCATCAAAGATGATGATGGTGAAAACCTATCACCAATCATAAGTTGTCTTCTGAGGTTACCTCTGGAGCAACATCACATTTACTTCATCAATACTGCGAGTTCCTGTCTGTCTTTTACAGCTTTAATATCTTACACCCTGAAAACCACGTTCCAAGGCTGTTCATATTATAAGTCACCACAATAATTCTTTTTCCCATTTGTTTACAGCACTTGTGTGATAAGAATGTGCCGCTGAGACTTAAAGGTAAGTTCTACAAGGTTGTAGTTAGACCGACTATGTTGTATGGAGCACTGTTGGCCGGTCAAGAACTCTCATACCCAGAAGCTAAAAGTAGTTGAGATAAGGATGTTGAGGTGGATGTGTGGGCATACCCGGTTGGATAAGATTAGGAATGAAGTTATTCGGGAAAAGGTGGGAGTGGCCCCCGGAGGATAAGATGCGGGACGCGAGGTTGAGATGGTTCGGGCATGCTAAGAGGAGAAGTATAGAAGCCCCAGTTAGAAGGTGCGAGCGGTTAGCCTCGGTGGGTAGCACGAGGGGTAGAGGTAGGCCTAAGAAGTCTTGGGGAGAGGTTATTAGGCAGGACATAGCGCAGCTGGAGCTGACTGAGGACATGGCCCTAGACAGGAGGGTGCGGAGGTCAAAGATTAGGGTAGAAGGTTCGTAGGTAGTCGAGCGTTTCTCTTTGTCTTACTCAGTTCGCTAGCATTAGTGTTAGTATGATATCTTTTATTCATAGATGGCTATTACTACCTAGAGTTTGACTGCATTCTTGGATTCGATCTTATTTCATCTTGTTGTTATTCCTAGTTGTTATGATTACCTTTTCTTTTTCAGTCGTTCTCTAGCTGAGGTCTATCAGAAACAGTCTCTCTACCTTCTAGGGGTAGGGTTAAGGTTGCGTACATCTTACCCTTCCCAGACCACACTGGTGGGAAACTACTGGGTTTGCTGTTGTTGTTGTTTATTTGACTCGGTTTCTTGTGAATTTCATAACAAGGTCTCGGGGAGGATGTTGGCAGTGCTAAAATGTCTGGAGGTCTCTATTTTCTGGAGGATGGAAACAATTCAGTAAACAAAAATTCTATTTGTTTGAACTCCATTTTTATTGAGAATAAGGTTATGCTTTGGCATTATAGGCTTGGTCATCCTAGTTTTTATTATTTAAAGCTTTTGTTTCAGTGTGAATTTTGTAAAATGGCAAAACATACGTTCTATTTTTCCCTCTCATAAATATCATGCCACCAAACCATTTAAGCTTATCCATAGTGATGTTTGGGGACCATCTAGGGTTTTGACAAATAATGGAAAACGATGGTTTGTGAGTTTTATTGATGATCACACTAGGCTAAGCTGGGTTTATCATTTAAAAGAAAAAATAGAGGTAAAAAATGTATTCGAGATTTTTTATGCTATGATTGAAACATAATTTCAAGAGAAAACCCATATCTTTAGGAGTGATAATGGCAGGGAGTTTTTTAATGAGTAATTAGGAACTTTTTTTTTTAAATAAAGGAATAATTCATCAAAGTTCATGCCCTGATACGCCCCAACAAAATGGGGTTGTCGAGAGAAAGAATAAACATTTATTGGAAGTAACTAGAGCCCTATTGTTTACTACTAGAGTTCCACAATATTTATGGGAAGAAGCTCTTTTGACAACCACCTATTTGATAAATAGGATGCCATCTAAAGCTCTTAGTTTTAGAATTCCCTTTAGCCTATTCAAAGATAAATTTACTATATCTAGGCTAACTACTGAATTGCCATTAACGTGTTTGGGTGTAGTGCTTTCGTTCACAACCATGATCATAATATGAGCAAACTAGAACCTCGTGCAAGAAAATGTGTTTTTATAGGCTATGCTCCAAATCAGAAAGGGTATAAGTGTTATGATACGAATACAAAGAAAATTGTGGTTACTATGGATGTTACTTTTTTTTGAATCTCAACTTTTTCTTGGCACTCATCTTCGAGGAGAGAAGTTTGTAGAAGATGATTTGTTTTGCAATAATGAGGGAATGAGTCAAAATAAAAAAGAACTGGGTTACCTGATAAACATGGTATTGGCAGTGAAGCAGAGTACAAACCTATGGCTCATGGAATCTGTGAGATGATTTGGCTTAAAAAATGATGGAGGAGCTTAGAAGATTGTGACAATAAAGCTGCCATAAACATTGCCCACAATCCATTCAACATGATAAAACAAAACATATTGAGGTGGATAGGCATTTCATCAAGGAGAAACTCGAAGAAGGAAGCCTGTGCTTGTCATTTGTGCCAACTGATCAACAGACATCAGATATTTTTACTAAGGGGTTGTTTAAACCAAGATTTGAAAGTCTTGTAAGCAAGTTAGGCATGTCAGATATCTACATGCCAGCTTGAGGGGGAGTGTTGATTTGTAATATCTGATTATGATTATATATGATCAAATCAAATCAGAAATGTCAATTTGTATTATCTGATTATTGATCATATAGGATCAAGATAAGCTAAGTTAGGAAAGTTTCAGATTTTTAGGGATTAGATTAGATTAGAAATACCCCTTTGTCTGGAATCAAAAGATTATTTCCTTTTTATTGATTTGTTTTCTCCTATAAATGTGTACTCTTTGAAAGAATAAAACATACTATTCCGATACCAAAACTAACAAATGCTATTACGTATTTGAGGGCCATATTGCCCGTAATAGTATTCTAGCAAGTCAGAAGAACGGAAGATAAGTACTTGTTGACACTATATGTATCCCATTAACCCATAATTTATGCAGTCTTGTTGACACAAGGCATGATAGCCATAACCCATAAATCATGCACTGAGTGCAGGTGCAGAATCTCGATGATACCTCAGGAAATTGCTAACCATACTTTCCTTTGAGTACTTGGATAGTAGCTAATCAATAGTAGGTAGGATAGAAGAATATCTCAGTTTCATTCTAAACAATATCTCCTGCACAGGTTAAGAATTTCATGCAATTTTTCAGGGGGAGTAATATACTTCTCAATATCCTTATGTGCTACTTATCTTAAGATCTGTTGTTAGAAACTTACTTTTTCCCTATGATATTTGAGGAACTTCTACATCTCCCTCTTCCAGAGTGAACAACAGTCAGATAGGGAAAAAGACAAAACTGGGAAAAGTATTATGAGACTGAGGGAGGAATAAGACATAAAAGAAAGGAATGCCCTGTAGAGACACAATAAACAAAGAAGAGGAGCAAAGAGCTCAAGATTTCAATTGAGACTTCAGTTTTTCACACCCCCACGACTCAGAAAGAACGAAACAGCTAAGTACCCCATTCTTATGAAGAGTGAAATACGAAAGAATTGACTAGCTTGCTATATTTAACTACTTTAATTTACTACCTCAACCACCAGGGATCGAGTAGAGATTATATGAGTAGAATAGAGATAAAGAACAATTTCAATTATGTTCCATTGCTCCTCGGTGAAATCAAACGAAGACAATACAACTTATAGTACCAGATTATACCATGGTCGAGTACTACCACCAGCAAGGCCAGCATATTGACTATGCAATCCATCTATGTGTTTATTTCATGAAGTGAGCTAACTAGCAATTAATAGGAGCATGAGATTTCCAGTTCTCTAAGAATGAACTTACTCAGCTTCCTCTTCAATGAAGTCTGTCACAATGTTTGGCTGCCGTTTCTCACCTGATGGCAATAGCAGATACATCAATATCCATTTTTTTTATCAACATAAACATACTTCCCAAATGACATAGAATACAAAATCCTTTAAAAGGTTGTAGGAAAATTAATAGCTAATTGAAACCCTCTAGCATTGAAAAGTAAAGCATCCAAGTTACTTTTTTTGCTAGAAAAGTAAAGCATCCAAGTTACCTATAGCTCTTCCATGCTTGAAACCAGTATGACTGTCAGTGCCACAAGGAGCTGTTCGTTTTCGGGAAGTACCAGTGTTTTGCTTGTCTGGACCGTGTTTGCGCAATCTTCTAAACTTCGGTTTTTGTCCAATGCTCTCTGATTTGTCTGTAGAGCCAAGTTGCCAGTCTTTGCTAGAGGTTTTGCTTGATAATTTTGCCATAGGAGTTTGATTATCTTCAGCAATTAGACAAGTGTACTTGCAACTTCTCGGTTCATTACTCTGAATGTTTTGTATAGGAGTTGACATTGCATTATCTTTTCCAAAGGTGCTAATGCCACCTGCAGTCTTTTCATTCTGTTCTGACGATTCTTTTGGTGTTGAAACAAGGTCTTTAACCATGAACTGTGCACCTTTATCCTGCAATACCCCTGCAAAAGAAAAGATAAAACTTTTACAGTAACAAAAAGATACTGTAAAAAAAAAATAAGTGCATAGTTCCATAAAAGACTTTGTGTAAGGAAAAGAAAGAGACCATCAGTTATAGGAGATTCAGTTATAGGAGATTCCGGGACAAACTCGACATCACTAAAGTTGGTTAGACGTGGACTAAGCTCCATATCTCCAAACTCTTTGTCTGGCTCATCATCTACTATTGGCGTCCCACAAATTTGAACTTCCAGACTCTCACTGATGCTCTTACCTTCTGGTTTTACCTTGTGATCTGGACTTTGAAAATTCTTCTCGCAGAGATCAAATATCTTCTGTTGCTGTGCATTAGACACACAGACTCTTGATGCTTCCAAATTAATTGTTTCTGCACTTGTCTGAGTAGCAGAAATGTCTTTTACTCCATCAGTCTTTTCCTCCAGCTCATTCGCTGAAACCTTACCATGAAGGGAATCTTCTTCTGGCAGGTTGAACTTTTCAAATAATCTGGTGCTTGTAAACTTAGAAACCAAAGTTTCTTTTACAAAAAGTTGGGCAACAGATGAGACTATAACCCTCCCCTGATCATCAACACTTACAAATTCCGAGCCAAATAGGAAGGCATGTGCATGAGAGCTTTCCCCTTGAAATATGTCCAGTAAAAGCGTCTTTTTACTATTTGGACTTTGCAGGGGTACAGACTCCTTCTGTTGTTCTGTTTTACAGTCATCTTCAGCAGAACAGCCTGTATGAATCTGAATAATATTAGCTATGAGTACAACATACATCTTTTTTTTGAGAATGGTAACATTAAAGTACAACATACATCTGAATTCTTTTTCTGGACTATTCTTGTTTCTCTTCTATTTTCTTTTGTTTGATGTAGAAAACATCAGAAAATAAACAATGCTCTTAAAATTATAAGAAGCAGGATCAAGGAAAAATTAGCATAGTTTTTCAGTGTTATTTGGCCTTCTTACCTCTAATTCACCCAGCAAAGAGAAACATGAGCTTGTTCATGAAAACATACCAATGGTAGCTTCAGCTGTTTTGATAACGCCTTAACATATTACAGACATGGACTATGCATGGACAATGAAGCACAGCCAGCTAGTTAATAGCAATATTTCATGTGTTAAAGATCATTATAGCACCAGAACCAGATTCTAAATAATCGAGGAACAAAAGAAGAGCTGGAATTTTATTTTTTTTGTTACATGGTAGGGGAAAGGGAAATAGGGAGGGATTACAAGGTGGGAAATCGAACTCTCACCAACAAGGTGAAAGTTCAGGTAGCCAACCAACTAAGCTACTAAGATTCCCCGAGCTAGTCTATGAGAGGATTGAAGATATCCTTTTTTATAAGTAGGTTGAAGAGAATACTTTTATTTATAAGTGGATTGAAGAGGATAATCACAACCACCTTTGCAAAAAAAAAAACAGATATGCGAACAGACATAAAATGCTTTTGGAAGTTAATGTTAATTCGTAGATAAAATGGATAAAACGCAAGCAATAGGTTGAATAATTTCAATGTTTCGTACACTGAAATTAACCCCAGGCTTAAATGGAATATGTAAAATTGTGATCGAACAGATAGTGCAGACTGGACCAAAATTCTTCTCCATACTGGCACCATAAGTCAGAATAATTTTTTTTGGGGGGTGGGGGGTGGTGTTGGGGGCAGAAGCTTTCGCTAGAAGAAATCTGTCTTTATTTTATTGGCATAAATAACAAAAGTGCAACCTCCATCTTTTCCATGTATCCATTAAATTATAATGGATACTAAGACAACAAAGTGCTGTTATATTGAAATTGGCTGGAGATAATCTGCTGCGCCATGTAAAACTGGAGTAAAATTTTTGAAAAGACGTCATATGGAAGACAAATTAACATATCACGGCATTATTTGTACTAAATTGAACCGTTGAATATGAATTCCATTTAATGAAAAGAACATATAATTTCAGTCAGACTCGGTGGTAATGTAGAGCCAGTGAAGTAATAGATTATCAAACATCAATCAGTAAAATGTTCAAAATGCTGATAGTTTTGGTGATGAAGCTATAGAGTATGTGTATATGTTACCTTTCAGATTTTCTTCACATGGTTTGGTGGCTTCAACTTTCATAGATAAATTTTCAAAAGTTTCATCCTGAGCCATCAAAGAGAAGTGATTCAATTTTCAGTTATTCTACAAATAATAAAATTAAGCAAATATCAGCACAAGAACCTCATTGATAGAAGCTTTGATATCTCGAGGAAAAGATATTTCTTGCAAATGTTGCATGGCATCTATTAGCATCACTGTTCTAAATGAATGCGCCACTCTGTGCACTTTGGAAGGAAATGCCTGAGAATGACGGAAGGCAATAAGTGATGGTCTCCACGCGTCCCGAGTCTCCTGACCAGTAAAATTGAAATATTTCGCAAGCAAGTTTGCTTCTTCATCACTTAATTTGTTCAGCAATGCAGACACTTGAATAGGGTTAGCATCTTTTATGTTCTTTCCACGAGGAACAAACTGTGGAATTGATAGCTTGAGGAACTGGACTTTTGGTTTAAAAATATGTGGAATCTACAATAGACAAATATAAAGACTTAAGAACGTATAGTTTCCTTGAAGTTGATGAGAAAATCTGTTGATATGATGTACCATCCTTGGACTGGAATAAAATGAAAAGCGAATTCCCCCATTTCTCATGTCTTTGATAATGGCCTTGCCGCTTGTTTGCTTTTGCAAGTAACCTTTTAACTCTCTTCCTTCGTGAGCTAAAACTAGTAGAACTTCATTAAGGAAATCTATTGAAATAAAAACAAAAACTGGGTTCCAGGAACTGAATATGCAAGTACAGAGAAAAAAGTTTGGTCTTAAAGAATTTCAAAAGAAGAAAAGGAAAATCCTAACAAGATGAAAAGGATATCAACTCGTCCTTCATGTTTCCTTCCAGTTCTGCCCATGCGCTGAATCATTCTCAAAGGTGATATGTTAGCATCAAAGCATATGACAAGATCTACTTCCATGATATCCAGACCTTCTTCACCAATTGATGTTGCAACAATGACATTGTATTCGCCAGTCCGAAATTTCTACATGAAAAAGTCAACTCAAGCAAGGTCGATTGTCTAGTGACAATAAGGGAGAGCAAAAGAATTACCTCCAAAACAGCCTGTTGATTCTTTTGTGATTGGCCTTTTGATGCTTTGCCTGCAAAGGAAGTTCATGAAATAATACTATGAGAACTGCTGATCCTTAGAACTAAAAATGAAAGAAATAAGTAAGAACTATAAAATAAAAATATGAAGATATTCTTCCTCCAGTTTAGTGATGAGACTACCATTGCGAAACCAGTCTGAGGACTGAAGATAATAAGTGTTTCACATGGTAAACGAGATATGAGCACCAGAAACAGGAAACAAGAGTTGTCAAAGGCAAAAAGCACAGAAAAGCGCAAAGGCTTTGATGGAGCTTTAAGCGTAAAGTGCAATTAAAGCATGGGCTTGCGACCAAGGGCCTAATGAGGAATATGTGTGTGTGTGTGTTATGCACACAAAAAATCATTAAAGACAAAACAATTTACTTGAACAAAAGAATCGAAAAAACTATAATTAAGAGAAATATATGAAGTAAAATACTGTCAACCATATGATTTAGATGTAAAAATGCAATTTTCCGACTTGTTTTCCGATACTAAATTTCTAATTTCTTATATACCTAATCACTAAAAAATTCGTTCATAACGTTTTGTTAACAATTAATATAATAACATCGCCAGATACTTATCATCTAGTGCTGCCCTCTTAAAGACGATCCATGGGCTATTAGGCATTTGCCTTAGTACCTCGGTCCCTGTACCGAAGGACCCTATCTGAGCGTCACCTAACTTCGGCACTAAACGCATCTCAAGTGAGCCTTTTACAACACTGAGGCTACAAACTTTGTCATAAAGATTAAAGCACAGAAATTAAATTTCGCTCACACTTATCATAGCTTATTTTGGCTACATCATGCATTCCGGCAGCGTATAACGTCATTCTGTTACTATTCTGTTTTGAAGGGGAGGGAAAGTGAATTAGTTATACTGCATAGCTGTATCAGCAAGCTTAGAGGACTCATTCTTAAATTCTGTAGCTCAAGCATATTGGTTGTGGGCCTTGCACCAAAGCTCACACCACTACCAAAAGATGCAGTTCTAACATGTAGTACCTTGTAGCACACAGGAAAATGGCAATAAATATATGTGGTACTTTAGAGCAGATGTTTAGAAAATTGTAATTATGATAGAAGACCAACTGATACCATCAAAAATAGCAGCCACTGCTATGTAAAACCTTGAATTCCAGCAGACATGGTAATAATAACAAACACATAAGGAGAAATTACCACTCCACCTCTTAACGTTATTGACATGAACAGTCTGACAGCATTTTTCGAAGAGGAAATATCCGTTGTCTAACGAAGAAAAAGATGAAGTACCAATGCAGTAGGAAGTTGATCCACTGAAATGTGTAGGGCAGGGATACCTGAGCTTTGGCCAATGAACTCAGTAGCTTTAACAAAATCTGGTAAACTCCTCAAAGCAAGCAAAATGTCACTGCAACCAAAATCAGGCCTTCAGAATTCAAAAGTAAAAAGAATCCAACTGCTGCAATCAAGTAATTGAAGCGTGAGAATGGATCTGATGTAGGCTTCACCTGACACTTTGTCTAAAATTTGAGAAAACGATAACCCTTGAACTTTTAGGATCATTGTTATCTGCAACAGATGGACAAATATCAAAGAAAATACGAAAACAGGAGTGCTATATTTACTATGAGCAAGTCCAGAGTCCAAACGAGAAATTATGAAAAAGATAAAAGAAAATGCTAAATAATTAACTACCATCGGCTTGATTATGATAAATTCCAGCATCATAAAAAACTACATCTTCTATCAAATTTAAGGAGGTAGAAGCCCTAGAACTACAGTTGACGATATGAAGAAGGACTATGAAAGATAAGGTCCGCGAATTGGTAATAACATTATAAAACTATTAGTTACTTAGTATCTGATATTACAAGGACCCCACACTTTTCAATAGCATAGACTAAAGCCAATCTCTGTCAATTGACAATTTGCACTTGAAATGACATTTCCTCTTGCTAACTTAGAGCCCACTCAGAAAAGGTTGAGTGAGATACCTATTCGCTGCATTCCAAATATAAATCGCTAGCCAATATTTGACTGTACTCTAGTTTGCACCATAAGCTACAAATGAACTTCAAATCCACAATAGCAAACAATAATGCTTCATATTCACTTCTGTTAGTCAACTTGACTTTGGTTTGTCATTTTCTAGTGGGCAAATATACCCCGGAAGCTGATACCCCACCAAAACATGTGCATAAGACATTCACGGTTCGTCTTTTAACGTGAAAATCAATGTTCATTAAAGAATTATTACAAAATCATAGATCTATGGCCTAAATTTCTTCTATGTTTGTTTTGGCGACCTTAAGACTCCCGCTCAGGGAACAAAGTTATCAGCAGACAACGTTTATCTTTTGATGACATAAAACAACAACTACACCTCAGTCCCAAACGTGTTTGGGGTTTATCTTTTGTTGACATGGTTCAACAATTTTACGAACAGCCAAGACTGTAACAAAAGAAACAAGTTAAAATGTTGGCTTTGTGAAAGAGGGAAATGGAGGAAGAATGTACTACTACTAGCCCACCTAGAATTCCCTAGAACTAAACAACAAAGTTAAGTTTGAAAAATATGCCAAAGAAGTAACAAAAGCTTAACTAGAAACAATGAAACTAGCTCATAACTCTCCAAAAACTCGAAGGATAATAGTTGATTATGTGTCTGTCACTAGATTTGCCTCTTTCTATTGCGGTTACTATGACATGGAAAAATATACAACTTCCAACAAGCTTCCTAAATCAATTTGCAGAAATAAAAAAATCAAATGTCATACCCAAACTCCCGAACCTATTGATGAAAATCAAATTTCATTTATAAAAATGATACCTAAATATGAACCGGAAACCCATTAAAACAAGCTTCAAAGCCATTTTGTGTGCATGTATGGACAAACAGGGTGCTCATTGAACAATTAAAATGAACAAATACTTAAACAAACAGAACACTGCGATGTGTAACATACTGAAATGATTGGTGAGTATTTCCAGCATTTTTGATAACTTAGGACTAGGAGCACCATGAGATACAACTTGCTGCATTAAATGCTTTGCTTTCAAAAGAATTTCATTTCTGCTCATATGTCGTCCAAATAACCTGTAAATGACACGTACATATTAAGAAAACGGACAAGAAATTTTGTTAAACCATTCAGAAAGAAGAGGTAGAAGTTGTACAAAACTGGTGAAAATAACTGCACAACACGTATATGATAATATCTTGGATGCAGTTGGTCAATGGAATCACGTCACATTATATAAGAAATACATTGGGGCGGTATGTTATTAGGAGGATGCTATTGTAAAAAACCCACTTATTGGTTTGCAGCTTTTCTTCAAGCATCTCACATGTAGATTTTATCCCATGGCTCGAGAGCAGTTTCAGTAAATGGTAAAGTGTTACAAGAACTCCATGTAATCCGTCAATATCTTGAAACTTCACTTGAGGTAAATTTTGAGGTGGAGCTTCACGAAATCTTGACCGTGATTCAAGTACTTGGTGCGGGCTTAACTGTAAATTGGACAAGACAAACAAACCTTAAGAATCAAGTATATATATAGACTTACATAAAAGATTAAAAACAAAGAACAAGTGTGTATATATAGAACCTAGTAATTGTGCGTTCCAATTTAAGTAGTAGTGGCAACAGTAACATGAAATAGCTGAAATAGAAGAAGAGCTCATCCCATATGTATATATGAACATGGTTGCCATGATTTGTCAAGCCCCTAGAAGAATAAAAGACTGTATAATCTTCAGAAATTGGAAAACATAATAAACCAGCAAACCAATAGTTCAATTTTACTATCCAAATACTAACCCCTGCTCCTCCAATGTATTCTCAACGTCTTTGTGTAAACGTGATTTTGCTTAAAGAGTATATAGGACCCCTTGTCTTATATGTTACTAATGATCTAATTATTTCACAGATTGAAAGTGGTCCTTATCTGTATAGAGTAGAAACCTCTAGAATTATACTAATACAATCTGACACTAGAGCTTACACGCCCCTAACATTTGAATTTAGTGATGAGAAGACATTAAGAACAAAAGATATCAGGATTGTTAAGACAGAAATTCACAATTAAATTTTTTTGGCAATTATGCACTACTAACTAATGACATTAAATCAAATTTAGAACGTCAAATTTTATTTTCATCTCTTTAACAAAATAAAATAGACATTTTACTTTCGCAGCTACTAACTATGCCAAAGTACACTATACGGGCCTTAGTATCAAACAATTTTTTTAAATCTTGCAGGATAGGAGCCACATGGAGGCATTAGCATCTCTTCAACAATAGATTGTATCACTATAGTCCACTGAGAAATGCAAATGCGTAAGAAAAACATAACCAGAACAAAAATAGGAAGAAAGCGTGGAAAGAGGATAATGACAGACTTCATTGAACAACTATCCTATACCTGAACTTCGCTGACTGACTAGTCAGAACAGCACATCCCCAAAAATGTAGCAAACAACTACATCATAATCAAAAGAAAACATCTAAAGAATTTTCAAGTAATAGTAGCCATACTGTCCGGTAGTCTCTATTCAGTAGTAGTCCATATGCATTAAGCCGATTCACTAATGGGCATATGACTTTCAAGAGGAGTTCACCAACTTCATCAGCATCTTTGCCCATGGGAACCTGAAAGCATGATTTGAAAATTTTTGAACATAAACAACGGAAAAAAAGGTTCAGCAAAGAGCCCAAGGGAGATATATTTAGACCGTTATCTGTTCAATCTTTCGAGCATGCACATATGGGAGCACATCTGGGTCAGTTTCATTTCGATATTCAAGTGTTGATATTTGCAAGTTATCGATCACGTTCTGAACTGCCTGCCGTTTAGCTGACATATGGAAGATCCCAGTAAGAAGGGTGACATAAGACATGAAACCAATTTAAATTCCAACAAAGTCCAGCAGATAATTAGTAACTTACACCCAGGTGTTGCAGTTAATGCTAATATCCTGACTTGGACATTACATGCCATCAACTACAAATAAATCAAAAAAGTTGAATTTTCACCAACCAAATGGAGATAAATTGAGGAATTGATATGGAAATTCGACATATTTTATAGAAAGCTTAACAGGAAATGGCATGATAAATCTAATAGTCTAATACTACCTCTAAATGTTTCCCTTATATTTGGACACCGGATTAAAAATGTACATCATAATGGAGCTTGAAAAAATAAAATAAGCATTTACACTTGGAACTAAGAGAAGCCTGCCCAGTTAGAAATGCACCAAGGAGTGGGCCACGGATTTGACTTTAGCAGGGAAAAGGCAGAACAAGAATCTGACGTAGAATGCTGAATTAGGTATGTAAAGCTGGCACTAGACCAACAATGGGTTTCAACTTCTACATAAAGCAAAAAAGCAACTAAATTATTTCCGCAATTCCTTTCTTTCAGTTATCACAATGACAGATTCGACCAAATAGAGCAACTGTCACAGTAGTTCACAAGTTTGATGTATAGATGTTTTCAAAGTTTTATTTTACATTTTGGGAGCGTGATGAACTTTTTGGTCCCATACTCTTGAATATCTATATATTTGTCTTCTTGATTTTCTATACTCCGAGTACCTGGGTGATTACCCTATCGAAAATCTTGGTGTAAAATGTCTCTCGCAACCGACATAGAATCATACTGCATCTCCTTTATTTCATCCACACTTGAGGAATCAAATCCATGATACTATTTTACTCAGAAAGTACCATCTTGGTGGTGTAATTCATGAATAAAACTACTGTACTTGCTAAAAAGTTACATCGAGGACTTCAGATTTTCTGATTTCCTCTTTCTATTAAAAAAGGATTCATGCTGCTCCACATCATTGTAATAATTACTTGTGGAGGTGCAGAATTCCAAATTGTTGATAAACTGTCCAGATTTTAGAAGCTTGCATGCGGTGAAAGGGTGAAACATCAAAAAAGGGAGCCGGTGATCACCTTTCTCTTTCTCTCACCTCCCGAAGAATAGGTATCGCATGCATCTCTAAATAGTAAATAGTCCACACAGAGAGAATATTGAACATATTTCCCAGTATATAGCTTTTTTTAGATATACTGATTATCAACTGAAAGGAGAGAACAACTATAAACAGGTACCAGGTTAAATTCACGTGGCAAAGCAACTCATAAAGTTCCAAAATAGTCTCATGTTGACAGACACATTAAGAATCATATCAGAAAGCTAGGACATAAAAACAAACTGAATGACAAACCTGGCGAGCTACTACACAATAAGAGTAATTTCCACTTGCGCGATGAGCCTCGTCGATTACCAAGCAAACTAGATGTCTCATGAAGCATATTCCTGTGATTTTACAGATATAATTTCATAAACGTTCAATATGGTCTAAGAATGGAAATTTCAAAGTTATGAGGTTTACAATTCTCTTAATCAAAAGGAAATACATTCAAATGTGCATGCAACCTCTAGTATTAAACCGTTATCGAATTATTTACCCAATAACCCAATATCGATAACCCAATAGCATTTTATCGGTTCGGGCTATCGGTTATACTCGATATATGCCCAGCCCTAGATTCATCTCATCCCAAAAATTGGACACCAAGAATCTGTCAAGTCTTGATCTAGAAAAAGAGTCTTCCGATCTAGACTGAGTGAATCTGGCAACTGTCAAAGGAAGGTAAACAAGAAACTGGTTATCGATAAACTCCAAAAACTCCTCCATAGCCCTCGTAAACCCCCTACTCCCCCTCCCTCTCCCGGCTATGCTCCCCTTCCCTCCCCCGGCTATCAGATAGTATTGAGAATTCTATGTTACTTGGACTCTTCAAAAATATTGTTGGGTGCGTGTCGGATCCTCCAAATTTAGCGCATTTTTGGAGGATCCGACACGGGTGCGGCAACACTTTTGGAGAGTCCGAGCAACATACCCACCAACCATGGAATGTCCCACTCTCCAATATAGTATTCATCTCTTCCCAAAATACCGCCTCCGAGCCCTCCCTAGGACCATACACTCCCCTGAAATCCCACTTCACCACATTCCAATAATTTCGAAATCTCAATGATATACATAACTCACCTTTCTTAGTTTCCATAACTTACATTTTTTTTTCTCATCCCATAATAAAAGTATCCCCTTGCGAACACCCTAGATGAGATAGCATCATATTTCACCCACTTTCCACCCCAAATACTCCTCACAACACCATTTGTCACCTTTTCCATTTTGTCTCCAAAAAACAAACAATATCCATCCCCCATTCCCTAAGACATACCGTTATGATCATTGTTGCTAGGGTCATTCATCCCCCTTTTGCCAGGGTCATTCAAGCAGTTATTAAACTGTTAAAAGCCGTGAAGCAAATAACAAATTTTTGTGCGTTATCAAACCTAAACGAGATATGCTCAAAGTGGTTATTGTCAAGTAAACATACTTAAACTTATTGCAGCTTAACAGCTTCAATGTCTGATGCCTCTTCTACGTGTTCTTTTTGCATATTTAGATAGTATCTAAGCAGAATAATTCTGTTTGGGCCAAGCATTAACCTATATTCATTCTTGTTCGAACCTAGAATGCTTAATATAATAGTGTCCTCAAGCTTCTGGTAAATAATTACATCTGATTTTTCTTCAAAACAAGAAAGGCGTAATCACAGTGTTAGTTAAATAGCTATTATCTACAGAAAGTGTAGAGTTATTAAGTGAAAATACCTCCAAAAGTATGTCAAAAAATACAAATTATATAAATTCAGTTTTAGACGCGCTTTCAACACCTCTGTTAAGAGTGATTACGGTTGTTGACCCAAAAGTGATCCAATCATACAAATATAAGTGACACTTTCCTCTAGCATGTACATTCACATCCAGAAATTCAAATAGGTCACCGCAGTTAAGTTCTATTTCCTCTCATGAAAGCACAAATCATGTGGAAGGGGTAAACCTTGAATCTCTTGAAAACGCGAAAACTATAAATCACTTTTAAAATTGTATCAGCACCAGAGTGAAGAACGTCACCAGAATGTATATCCTTCTCCAGCACTTGTGGAGTAACAAAGAAAACTCGTCTCTCTTTCCATAAGCTCGCTCTTCTCGACGGATTTGTTTGACCTGTCAGATCAATTGTGCACTCCTGTAATCAATTTAGTAACAAATGTCTTAAAATATAAATAACAGTACATTTGCTCTTTTAGGACACAGGATTAGAAAAACAACTTAGAAATAATAGAAAACAGAACAAACTTCTAGCTTACTTGTGGAATATCTACAAACTTATGCAATGCTTCCACCTGCTGCAAAACAAGTGGGCGTGAAGGAGCTGCAAAAACAATTTTCCCTGCCATTGGGACACCATCCAGAACAGTTAATCCAAAGGTTTGGATTAAACTATCTTCTCAGCCGATATATATATATATATATAGGACCATCATTAGTAAGTGAAGGGCTCATCAGGATTCAGGCATCTTAAAACTCAAAACAAAATTTCCTTTGTTCACAAACTTGAAAATGCATAAAATGAAGTATCTAGCCCAATAATGTTGCTGCATAATATTTCACAGTTATTAGCATAAGATGTGCACTCAAAATACAAGAACTATGAACAATACGATGAAAAGTCAAAGCAAAATATAACAAGTAGAATTAGCTGCTGACAGAGGTCCATTTAAATCAAAATGATCATTCGCAATGGTAAGAGCTTAACAATTGAAGTCTCTGAATCAAAATGCTCGAGGTTCATTGTGATGTATATATATCATGACTTTATTAGCTTGCTCTTTTGCTGCATATAGCAGTGGATGTTTGGTATCCGTGGGGATTTTTGCATGTTAAGTTCTTAACACATATTTCAAAACAAATCTTTTTGTTCTTTGTTATACAGGGTGCAAGAGAGTTGAAATTGTAAAAGATGACATCAAGAAAAAGAGGACAGAGGGAAGAGAAAGCATGGAGACCTAAGTCTGCTATAGAACTACTCATATCACACTTGTTCAACTTCATTTGGCATCTGGATGAACGAGGTAGTGCTAGATCATGAGGGAGAATGCGAACATCCATCCCATGAACCGCCAAGGAGCCATGCATTTCTCCGGGCTTGGATTTTTCATGTCCAGTATCCCATTAGATCTACCAGCAACAGACTAGGGGCTCACTACCTCCCATCTCACTGGGGGCAGAAAATGAATCGCCATCTCACCCCTTTTGAGTTTGGTTGGGATAGAAGGTTGAAGTCCATCTGAACTGCCCAATGAGTATAAGAGAAAAGCAAAGTACCAATGACACGCTACTGACTAACCATTTCACAATTTAAACCATTATTTAAACTTCCCAGTTTATTCGACATTTTACTCTACATAAATGTAGAGGTTAATTTAGGTTGAGTTTATTGGGATGGGGGTAGTAAATTCCTATGTTCAAAGCACCTACTTGTCATTTTTTATAGCTCAAAATTTCAGCAGATTCAGCTGAGATTAATCTTGCTTCTCAAAAACTAGCTCTTCGATGTGGAGACATGACGAGACTAGTTACCGGAAATAGTATGTGACAAGTTTAAAAGAACAAGAAATACGATAGATGTAGCACTGCATTACCTTCTGGAAACCATCTGAAATAATTATACATTACAACAGCAGCAATAAATGTCTTCCCAAGACCTGTGGGTAATGCCACTAAGGTATTGCTAAAAAGAGCAGTCTGGATGATAGAAAATTGATAATCACGACGATCAAAATTGACTGCAGGAAAAATAAAGTTAACTGAACATGAGTCTTCATTCAAAGAAACTACTACAATGCTTTATCTAAAAGATAGTGACAGTTACATCATAGACCTTATGACTATCCATGCAAAAGTTTCATTCAAGCAGCATAACTCGTCAATATTGGCCATTTGCTTAAATATCATGTTAGAGAACAGAGATAGCATGCTTAAAATTTAACAAAAAGGTCTTAAAAGGAAAGAAGAAGAAAAATGCAGTAGCACTTCACTAACAAAATTATAATTATTTCTCAAAAGCAACATACAATAATTTTCACCTTCTCCCACATTGCTATGTTTTGGTATAAGGATAACTATAGATTAACCAAGATCAAATATAATACATGGTTTTTCTCTTTTTTCCTTTCTTTTGATAATCGTAGGGCTCGACCAACATATATGGGCCTCGACTAATTCATTTGGCAGCCTACTACAGCCCACAAGCACAGTTGGCAAGTCAACCTGCTCAGCATGGATGAAAAAATACTACTGAGTATTATAGTTAAGATTCGAACATGGGATCTCCAAGTTGTACTTGTACACCTAAACCACTCTGTCATCCCCTTGGGTCACAACAAATGGTACTCCCACCGTCCCAATGTATGTGATGGTATTTCCTTTTTAGTTTGTCCAAAAAGAATGACACGATTCTATATTTAGAAACAATCTAACAATACACTTCTCATTTTATCCTTAATGAGATGATTTTTAGCCGCACAGATATCTATGGTTTAATTTAGACCACAAGTTTCAAAAATCTTCTTTCTTCGCGTAAATTGGAACGTAGAGAGTATTTACTAATTCTTAAAAAGCCCAATCAACAACTAACTGCCAAATCTACGTCTGCGATGAGTACAAACACATTCAGCTTTTATCTAAGTTTATTTTAATTGGAATGATAAATATTACAGTATCTCATTTGTGACATGTACATCAAGTCAAATGAAGAATCCGTGAAACATAAAGCAAAACACTTGTAAATGCTGGCACTTTATGACTTCTAGAGAACATTAATGTCTAAAAATAGATAAATTAAAACAGAATATTGATGAACAACAACAACAACCTAGTAGAATCCCACTAGTGGGGTCTGGAGGATAATGATGAAGTATAACAAAAAGAAAAGTGAAAAAGGAACCTGGGAAAATCCAAGTTTTTGCAGCCTCCGGATCAATCTTAACATCACTAGGCCCATGAGATGATTCACTGGGGCCACAAGATTCAAAATCATCTTCGTTCTTTTGTCCGAGCTCGTTTCGATTGTCCTGTTTGGTGGAATTTTGGAAGAATTTATCAAGTGTGGATTGTCTAGAAGAAGAAGAAGGAGCAAAAGGGTATTTATGGGTTTCCTTAATTTGGTGATTTGAATGAGAAGTAGAAGCAAAATTAGAAGAAAATGGTCTGTTGGAAATTGCTGTTGCTTCTAAAGCCCCATCGATTTCTTTCACCGCTAAGTCCCAATCAAATTCCTGTAGGAAAATAGCATGAGGGTTAGTAGTTGAAAACAAAGGAAACACACACACACACACACACACACACACACACAGAGAGAGAGAGAGAGAGAGAGAGAGAGAGAGAGAGAGAGAGTACGTCGTCGTCGTCGATTGTGTGGATAACTGTGGAAGAAGAAGGCATTTGGGGAATGGAGAACAGTGTAATGGAGAAGGAACTGAAGGAGGGAAACTTATAAGGGCACTTTGAATGAGGGAAACTGGAAAATAGCGCCAGGGTATTTTCCCCAATGTTTTCAGAAAAATTCCTTCTATTTTGTAAGCATATTATATTTTGAGAAAACAACATTAAAGTATTAAAATATTAAATCAACGTGTAAAATTGAATTTCAACATTGGTTTAAATTTATACTTATGAAAGTTGTCAAAAATAATTCTTCAAAATTGTAAATTGTAACATGTGTTATAAAATAAAGACTTTAAAGTAAAGAAATCGAAGACAAGTAGAGAGAGATTTATTATTCAACTTCAAATTCATGTACATAATAAACTGAAATCTCCTTTGAAGAAAGCAAGCTGCTGTAAGCTGGTGTAAGCTGATACTGTACCATATATAGATAATCTTCAACTAGGGTAATGTTTATCCATAATGGAGTACCGAAAGGATAAGCTTATTTGTACCAGGTATGGATAATCTTCTACCGGGGGTAATATTTATCCATAACGGAGTATCGAAAGGATAAGTTTATTGTACCCGGTATGGATAATCTTCTACCGGGGTAATGTTTATCTATAACGGAGTATCGAAAGGATAAGCTTATTGTACCCGGTATGGATAATCTTCTACCGTGGGTAATGTTTATCCATAACCGAGTACCGAAAATATAAGCTTCTTCAGGAGGCTTATTTCCAATAAAGTACTAAATAGATAAACATATTTACGGCGGAGTCCCATATGGATAAGCTTCTTCAGGAAGCTTATTTACAACGGAGTACTAAATGAACATCCATAATATAATATATATTTATAACACTCCCCCTTGGATGTTCATTAAAAGATAATCTGCCTCATTAAAACCTTACTAGGAAAAATTCCGTGAAAAAAATCCTAGTGAAGGAAAAAGAGTACACGTATTTCATAATACGCATTACTAGGTGCCTCATTAAAAACCTATAAGGAAAACCCCGTGGGAAAAAAACCTTAGTAAGAAAAAAAGAGTACATCGCGTATTTTACTCCCCCTGATGAAAACCTTGTTTCAAATATTCGAGTCTCCGCATTCCAATCTTGTATACCATCTTCTCAAAAGTTAAATTTGTAGAGAATATTATCCACCACTATTTCAGATCGATTTAAATTAATCTCATCAAATCAAGAAGCTGCTACAAGTCATTTCATTGAGTTCCTTGCAACCTGCCTGCATCAACTGCTTGTAGAAAACTTCAATGGAGTACTAAATGGATAATCTTCTTCAGGAAGAATATCTACAGCGGAGAATCCACAATAATATTTTCAAAGCACTCCCCATTAGATGTTCATTATTAGGTGTCTCGTTAAAACCTTACTAGGAAAAATCCTCTGGGAAAAAAATCCTGGTCAAGGAAAAAGAGTACACTAATAATATACATTGTAAGCTGCCTCATTAAAAACCTTACCAGCAAAAACCCAGTGGAAAAAAACCCGAGCAAGGGAAAAAGAGTACAGTGCAGAGACTTGGGTATATTTGGACTAAGGAGTTCATCATCCTCTTCTGGAGGTAAGAACGGATCCTTAATTCGCGTAGGAGAAGAACTATATCTTGCTAGTAAATTAATAGAAAATGCTATGTCAGGCCTTGTAGCATTAGCAAGATACATTAGTGCACCAATTTCACTGAGATAGGGTACTTCGAGACCAAGGAGTTCCTCATCCTCTTCTGGAGGTCGGAACAAATCCTTATCCACTTTAAGTGATCGAACAACCATTGGTGTACTCAATGGGTGCGCTTTGTCCATGTAAAAGTGTTTTAAGATCCTTTCTGTATAGGCAGATTGATGGATAAAGACCATGTCCGCTAAATGTTCAATTTGCAGACCAAGATAAAGTTTTGTCTTTTCAAGATCTTTCACCTCAAATTCTTTCTTAAGATATTCAATTGTCTTTTGGAGCTCTTCTGGAGTTCCCACAAGATTTATGTCATCAACATAACAACAAGTATATCAAACTCTGAATATGTGGACACATATATGTAACTTTCTTTTAGCAAATATTCACTGAGGCGATAATACCACATATGCCCAGATTGCTTTAAACCGTACAAAGATCTTTATAATCTAATCGAGTATATTTTATGAGACTTTGAATTATATGCTTCAAGCATTTTAAATCCTTCAGGGATCTTCATATAGACTTAATCAAATGCGTCATATAGGTTATACCTTGCATTTAAATGGCATGGCATCTCCAGGTGCCTGGACTACAGGTCCGATCCTCACAATCTTTTACAATATTGTGCACTATATTGTATCAAATATATCGTCGACGATCATTTTGTATCGGTTCCTAAGCGATATAACTTGTTGAGAACTCATCACTTTCTTTATTTTCAGGTACCTGAACTTCTTCTGGAGTTTAATGAAATGTTATGTTGTGGGCTCTTCTAGAGCTCATTTCCTCCTCATTATGATTATTTTGATCATTAACTCCTATCAGTTTTCAAGGATTGTTACCTTTGGAACCGATTGGTCTACCACGTTTCATGCGTACAGTAAACTCTATCCTTTAGTGACTTTAATTTTAATAGGAGCATTTGCAACTGAAATATGATATTTAATTTCGGATTAGTAAATGCTTCTGGCATTTTACTTGAATTATCTTCTAAGTGAGGATCATATTAATGATAATTCGATTCATATAGCATATTTTTCAGTTGTTTATTCAATCCCCCAAATGTTAGAAAAACTAACATATATCCCCAATCTTCTTTGGAAAATATATCTTTGTGCATTATGGTGGAGAAATTAATCATATGCCACACATCAAAAGATAGTAAAAATATTTGGTTTCTGATCCCAAACCTATTGTGAGGTGAGGACTTATCATATATTGTTGGTCTGATGTATACAAGTGCTGCTATATGCAATTTAACATGAAGCTTTGTTCTCATAAGCAATGATTTAGCCATTAATAGGAGGTATTCAATGCTAAACCAGCATTATCAAGATGAACTGCCTTGATTTCATAATCTGAAAGTTATGCTCTTAGTTGAGAAAAGCAATTTCAAATGCCAAACTGCAGGTTCACAATGAACACACATGTAACCATCTTACATATGCATCTATAAGTGGTTCACATGATAGGTGAATGGGCCCATATTCACCTTTTATATATTCCAGAATTCAGGGGTCTTAGTCCCAACCTTAGCCGGTATAACTTATGATACATGATGTAGTACAAATTGAAGATATAAGGCGGGTAACTTCTCATATACATATTATTTTACCCCCTATGATTGTGGAAACGTGAAGATTTTCAATCTTCCAATCATTTGTAGTCTCAATATGATAGCCAGTTGTATTAGTAAACTTCGGGTTTACTACAACATAAGTTTTGACCACAATCATATAATACGAATGACAAATTTGCATATAAGCTCTTCGGGAGCCTTCAATTTATTTTCCATAATCAAATATTATTCAGACACTACTTGTATCATGTGTCTTTTAGATAAACAGTTATCTCTTAGAGCTTTTGATAATTTTGTACTACCAAATAGTGCCCTGACACCTCTGGTGTCATGAGAGAAAATCATAATCAAATTGACAATATAAAGACAATTCTAAATTTATAAATGTAAGAAATTAATTTCAGTATTTTTACCACCAACTTTGTGACAAATATCTCCTTCAGGGAGAAACGCCATTAACATCTGAATATTTTACATCAAAGCGGTAACCACATAGTCATTACATCCTTCAGGGAAAGATACATGAGTTGTTATTTCGGGGAACTCGATAACTAACCATAACATATTAATGTGGTTGTAGTAGAAAGCATTCTACAAGAATACTTTTGCCTTGGAATGATATTTAATAAAAATTTCCAAGATATTTTACGTACAACAGGTACGTGCGACAATGATCTTTATGCCACAAAAATAAGATTTATATCCTTTGTTATTCTACATCTTCAGGAGGTGAGTTGTAGTATTTCTTCATTCATTCCAGGGAATGAAAATGTGCTTCAAAAATAACTTTGAATAGCGTATTATTTTGTTTAAGCACAGAAAGACACAATTTCATAATATTTTCCTGGTTCAGGAGAAAATTTCAGTTGTGTTACTTCTTCAGAGCAAATTTAAAATACGAAATATTGAGTATATATTCCCTCAATCATATTACCTCTTCTGGAGGTGAATTGTAATATATTCACATCAAAAGCGTGTTCATATTTACGAGCTTTATTAATATTGTCACATTCACTTCAGGAATGGATTAGTATTTATCAAAAGTTCTCATCCTTCAGGGAACAGAACATAATTATTTGAACGTGCATTAATCACACCAAATTGTGTGACGGCTTAGAACCTCTTTTAAGATATTGCTACTTTAGGAGAAAATCGAGGCATGCAAGTAATATAGAGAAATTTTCTCTAACTCATCTTCAGTTGTAACCATAGAAAGCCTAAATTATCACTTCTGGTGGTTATAGGCATATACCAGTTCCGGTGGTTAACAAAATTTAGTTACAATGAGATATACAAAATATAACCACTTCTGGTGGTTATATATTTCTTGCAAACTCTGCTGGAGTTTAAGTGGATCTAATAATGTTACCCACTTTATAATCCTTTATTAAGATAATTAGGATGACGAAAATAAATACCAAAATAGGTACTGTATACGTAGCATATAACCAAGCAAGCGATGATAAAGATATTAAACCAAATATAAGCAAAAGACTCAAGTTACTTTACACAAATTTGGCCACTCCAGACGTAAGTGATATCCACATCTCTACCGCCAAGAATAAAAGCTCACCACCTCAAGGGTATAATCTGCCTTATGATGCTCGGAATGAACAAGATCTAACCACGGATGTAAGAGCGCCGCCTTACATCGGAGATGAACACTGAAATAGAAATTAAATTCGAAGTAAGTGCTCAAAATGGCACAGTCTCGTGCTGATAACGTGTTATAAAATAAAGACTTTAAAGTAAAGAAATCGAAGACAAGTAGAGAGAGAGAGAGAGAGAGAGAGAGAGAGAGAT